GGGGAGAGGGGTTACACAAACAACCCACTATTTCCCTAGAAAATAAAAAAAAAAAAAAAAAAAAAAGAGAGAAAAAAAAAGGCATGAAACAGCTTTACCCACTGTAACACTGTCACATCCCCCCGGTGAGGGAAGGGATGCATGGAGAAAAAGGGGTGCAGGGATCTGGGATGAAGAGGAGCATCTGCATTGCCTGGTGGGCCCAGTCCCCCCAGCAAGGTCACTCTGGCTCCCAGGGAGAAACATCAGTGCTTCAATGCGAAGCTGTGGTCGAACTGCAGCGGAGGCAGCGCTGCAGGAGGTCACTCGGGGACTGCAAAGAGGGAATGGATTAAAAAAAGGGAATAAAAAAAAAATCCATAAGCAGATGTTTACTGACGTGCAGCAAATCCACAGCTTGGCTCTGGAGAGCTGCGTGGTGGGAGGGAGAACTGCCCAGTTCCCAGGACGCAGCAAACAATCTGCATCTACAGATTTAGGTTACAGCTTTTAACCAGCCTCCCTCACCACCCCCCTTAAAAAAACCCAAATTCATCATCTTTTTAAGCTCTTAGAAATGTAGATTTGCCACGGAGGTGATTTTGGGTGGTGGCACCATTAAAATACTTACCCACCTCACAGCCAAGGGCTGTGCAATCTGAAATTTGTGAGTGTTTGCAAATGGTTTGGAAAGCTTTCCAAGGAAGGTGCTGTAGGATTGTAAATCCTTCCCGTTATTAATAAAAGGGAGCTATTGTTCCAGCTCTAATCAAGCCTTGTCTCCAGCTGGGCAATTTTAAAACGCAATTCAAAACACACACAGGGAAAAAAAGATTGTGAGGAAGCTTCAAAAAAAAATAACAAAAAAAACCCACCAAAAAATCAGTGAGGGAGCAGGGGGAGGGGGGAAGGAAAATAAAAAATAATACTCCTGCTATTTAAAATGAATTCCAAGCAGAAGCATGCTGGGGTGGGAGGGGAATCCTCCCTCCCACCGCCTGGGAAAGGTCACTTGTGCCATCGGTGCCCTGGCCACGCTGCCAGCCCTGCCCTCATCCATCTCCATCAGCAATAGCTCTGCTTTCCATTTATTTAGGGAAAAAAAAATCAAGTTGCAAACACCTCCCAGCGCTGTTTTCAAGGCTGGGGGAACGGAGTGAGAGGGAGAGGCTTGGAATGAGGCTCCCAGCCAGGGAGAGGTGGTGCATCCTCCGCATCCTCCTCCTCCTCCTCCTGCCCGGCGCTGCGGCAAAGGCGCCGCAGTGGGGGCTCCCCGCCCCCGTGGAAGCTTCTGGAATAAGCAGCCAAGCTGGAGACAGGAGAGAAACCTTTATACCCGCAGAGGGGAAAAAACGCGTAATAAAAGGGAGAGGATTGCACAGGGCCGGGAAAAAAATAGAGATCTCTGTAAAAGTGAAGCCCCTGAGCAGCTCTGGCAGCCCCGGCGGCTCGGGGGTGGTGCAGCCCCGCTCGGCTGGAAACAAAACGCCCCAACAAACCACATTAAACAAAAAAAAAAAAAAAAAAGAGAGAGAGAGAGAAAAATGGTGGTGTTTGGAGCGCGAGATGGTGGGATAAAGGCGCTGATCCCTCCTCCCGGATCTACAGCAAAGCCGGCCATTGCAGTTCCATTTATCCTCTTTTTCTTGTGCAATGAATTGTCTGATCCGGACTATTCGGTTGCATTTGCAGCTTCACTTACAAGTTTGGTTTTGTGGTTTTGTTGTGATTTTTTTTTTCCTTTTTGTTTCTTTTTTTTATTGGGTTGTTTTGGGTTTGTTTTTTCTTTCCTTTTTTTTTGGGGGGGTATTTTTTCCTTTTTTTCATTAAAAAGTAATCCTCCCCAAATCTCCCAAGGAAAATCTACCTCTTTGTGGAACAAATAAAATATTCAGGCACAAACTTCCACCATGGACTGTAAAAAAAAGAGATGGGTTGTTTTTTGTTCTTTTTCTTTTTTAATTTTTACTTTTTTTATGGCATTTTTTTCTCCTGCTTTTAGGATACATTGTAGTAGAAAGCCAATGGAGGAAAACAAAGGTAATATATATATATAAAATCAAAAATATATACGGGCCAAATGATAGTGATTACATATAATTAAATCATAGTTTTTAGGTGTGTGGGTTTATCTTATATTTTAAGCAGTCCCTGTAAAAAGGAGATATACATATAAATATGTAGTCAATATACAGAATATTTATATATGTATGTAGTAAATATATAGAAATATTTCTATATCTGTAGAAATAATAGAGCATCTACATGGGCCTAAATCTGAAATTCCATGGGGAAAAAAGCAGTATTTTAGGCATGTAGCTTTTAACAAGGAAGGGGCAACATTGTAGCCTGTGACAACACTGTGATGCAGACAAAAAGGTAAGGCAACATTAAAAAAATATTTAAAAAAAAAAAAAAAAAAGAAAAAAAAAGCGTATGTGGTACCTTGGCTGCAGCC